CTGAATGAAAGTTGAAGCCAAAACTATTGAGGGAGAGAGAGAACAGTGTTATTATTGTCTCCATTGTAATAACAGTGAATGAAATATTTTGTTATTTTGCAGCATCGAAAATCTTCGAAAACAGAGGAAATAAAACTGATTTACCATAATCATACATATATGTTATTGAGAATCCAATTTGATATGGTCAACAAAGAATGGGAAAATGTACAGACTACTCTAATGAAGAAAATAACGGTTACCCTATTGTAAACGTTATAACACCAAAATCCATATTTACTTACAAAGATCAAAATTTGTCATATCAAAAAGTTATTCTTGATAAAAGTTTGTGCATGTCCTGAAATCAAACATGCACTAACAAAATACAGTACAACACATGTAATATACGAGAAGCCTTGAAATATTTGATTTTGTGACAGGAGTAAAGTACTCTTATTTTGAAAAATATCGAGAAATGTTATTTGGAAAATTGGTTGAGAATTGAATTGTGGGTTTCCTAAGTCGCAGGTGTATGCGAATGTTTCATAAGCATGAATATCCGAATGTCGAGTCAATTCGTTTTTATTTAAAAAAACATAAACACACGATTCACTGCTAGAAACTCTCGTGAAACATCTCAAAATTTGTTTTTGTGCAAATGCCATATCCAGTCTCGATTTGACTTGGGCACTATAAACATTTACAATTTCACTTCTAGTAGATTAATGAAGATAAATTTCAAATAATTCAGTTTAGAAGATAATTCTGTTCAAAATCTGTTTTTCCGTTAATCAGCTGTCGCCCCCATATGAACGACAACTCTCAGAAGTTGAGAAACTTGTGCGAGCTAAGGAGTAACGAGGTCTCACCTTTTAACGTGTGGCAATGAAATTTTCAGGAGAGATATTCATCTAGAGATACTTCAAAAACCTAACCTCTGCATGTGTATTCTGCATAGTAATTCACCAATTTTAATTTCATTATCATCAGTGTTTTTTCGGCAAGAGTGAATTTTCAGTGTCTGAGTATTTTAAGTGTTGTGAAATAGGATCCTGCTAATCATACTGCATATGCACTACCAATAATCGCATCAAAATGGTTTACATAGAAAATTATTAGAATTGGACCCAAGATCGAGCCCTGTGGAACGCCCATTCCGATTTCCTCACTATTCGAGGGCATGATTTCATTTTGTTCATCGTGTTGAAACTGAAGCGTTACAGCTTGTTTTCTCTCTGTTAAAAAGTATGAAATCCCGTTCAATGGTATATACATTATGCCGCAACTTTTCAATATTTTCATTAACTTTCGATGGTTCACACAACAAACGGCCCTACTGAAGTCGCAAAATATTGCAACAGAGCATTCATTCGCATCGATAAACTGGGCAATTCAATGGAAAGAATACATTGCCGTGGATGTAAACATGTTACGACAAAAACCGTATTTTTCCAAAATTGATGAGTCTATCTAAAAATGCATATTCAAAAATTTTTGCGGAACTATATGGCACAGTTACCAGACAATGATTCTCTAACAGAGTGCGAAATTTTTTCTTGAAGACGGGCACAACTTTTTCTGTTTTGATGCTTAGTGGAACTGCTCCATTTCTACTTACTTACATACAGAGTGAACAATTATTTCACATGAAGAAGGTTCGTTTATTTCGCATGAAGAAGGTTCATAGCAAAGTGTTGATTCAAAATGATGCACATTTTGTAAGATGCGACAGCCTGTCGAATCTAATGAGAGACTTGAGATACCTCTCTCCCTCTCTTCCTGGCTCTCACCGTCTTCTTACCAACGTACATGTGGTGAACGGGACCAAATCGAAATTTAGAAAGCTCCACTGAATAGTTTATCCTTTCTAGTGAATGGAGACAGTCAAAGGTCCTCTTAACATTTCCTATTGGAAATACCTCAAATGGCTAATCCATAATAATCGAAAACTGGTTATTATAATCAATAGCTCAGCTCAAACGTGCTGGGCTGAATTTTCTAGTGCATCGTCTTTTGACACTTCCTCGTACACGTGAGAGGTTTACAGAGGAAAAACGGACAATAACGGAAATAGCAGTCAGTAACGGTTTGTCGAGGGGTATTGCAGATGATATTATCAAAATCAATACTCCTGACCGCTCTGGACTGAATGATTCCGTACAGCCCATCTCGTCTTGTGTTTGTAAATCTTTTGCTGAAAAAATCCTCACTTGTTTATTTTGTGGTAAATGTTCAAGAAGTACCAAAAACTTATGTGAATTTTTGGAACTTCTCACTCGCACTCGAATCAGTTCTTCAAGATTAGTTGAACAAGTCAACAACAACAGACATTTATATGCCTATGAGAATTCCAAAATGAGTGAACATAATGAGTGACGATGGTGGACCAATACCTAACACTATAGTATATAGCTTGTTGAAATGATATTTTATTCATCAGATTTAGGGACAATATTGTGCATATATTTAGTTCAATCTTTTCCTTGAAAATGATCACTTGGTGATCGAAACACGTGTCGAAGTAATGAAAATAACGGTTTGGTGTTGGGATAAAACTCCAATAATATCCATTACCATCGAGTTGATTCTATTTTCTGAATAACAAAAACACAATTCAATGTGAGATTTCTACTTGAAAGTGTACAAAACCGCGACACGTGTTTCACCATAGAATAGCATATTCGGTTGTGTTCTGAGTAGGCAACGTCAATAACTTTTCGAGCCATCTAGGGATAATCATGACTATTCACAGTCCGTCGCCATTGAAGGTTGACGAATCGTCCTAACTAGGTGAATCCTTAAAAAATATCTGGTTAAGGTAGCATCGATCTCAAGTTTTCTATTCATCACGGTGATTGGCGATAACAAAATTGGAGGTGATGTTCATTTTCTTAGAAAAATCACACAACTGAGAAATATTGCATTTTCCACAGAATTTTTACGAACTATCATTTCATCAGTGCGTCAGATTATTTCATGAGATAAAATCTGACAAACTCATAAAAGCTTCATCATACTCGTAGATGAATTCTAAAAATTGATTGATCGAACAAAAAATCATCATTAACAAACATTCGTTCAACAAAATACACACAAAGAACGACATCAGCGATTTGAGTTTAGCGGGTTATCCTTGAGGAAGGAAATCAAAATTGCTGGAAATGAAATAATTGTTGTCAAAAAAATACCCATTCAAAAAAAGCATTTTCCAATCGTTATTCCCATTATATTTGATGAACGCTCAGGAGGAATATCATCATCTTGTATTTTTACATGTTGTATAAAAAAATGATTTTCCGTTAACCAGTTGTCGCATCCCTACGTACAATAAACTTCAGAAGTCGAAACTTGTGCGAGCTAAGGACTAACGAGGTCTTACCTTTCAACGTGTAATTCCTAACACCAGTTGGACGATAGCAATCAGAAAATCAATCATTTAGCCTGCGGCTTGAACCACCAACCAACACGGCGGCCGACTGAGTGAGTGAACAAAGCACCCACGTCAAACCGACCAACTACCGGCCGGCTGTTTGAAGATGTGTGCAAGTGAAGTAGAACATTTCAGTAGATGTGTCACCAGTCTCTTCGTTGGGCTAGGCCTCAGGCCATTCGTAAAAATTGCCATCACAACCATCGAATAATCACTGCTGAAAATGTTGATGAAAAATGGCTCCGTGAAATAAACGATGGTTTGTCATAGAGCTTGTCAATCATATACTATTTCTTTTTTCCCAATCTCATAGGTGCGCCTTCGCGAGAGAATATATAATTGATACAGAACAGATACAAAAACTCACCATTTGAGAATAGCCGTTTCCGGCAATGCAGGTGTCCAGGTTCAGCCTAACACCACTGTTCAGACTCAAAGCAGGTCTAAACGGCGCTGTCTTTTAGACTACGAATGTTTCTTCTTTTGGCTCTGATTTCATCCAGTTATGAAAGGCAGAACACTAGTCTAGAAGACTAATTTACTGAGGCAGAAAAAACGGTAACAGCTCTTTCAGGTTTCCTCCCGAATATAGACGGACCATTTTTCTGTGGCCCATTCTCAGATTTTATATGCAGCACCTGCTTGACGTACAGTCGTAAAGAACCACTACTACTATTATCAAAACTTACAAGTCTGCGAAGAAACATGATCTTCAGAATTTGCTCTAATTACAGACCTATCACCAGAATTGGCGGGGGTGATAGCTGAAGTTCCTCCCGAAACCAAAGAAAGTCTGGCAACTAGATAGTGAAACAACTGGAATAACGGCAGATTGAAGAGGGAGGACACACGGAGAGGGGGATTACTATCTGACGGAGAGGATATCTGGACAGGGGTGTTGCAGAAAATACCTATATATCTCTAGTAAAGTAGAATCTGATGAATGCCCATATTATGACCACCACGATGACGTAGATCATATGGTATTCTATTGTGTCAGGTGGAAGGATATTCGGCGGTAATTCATGAAGCATGCCAGAACTACTTTCCATAGCAGATAATATAATGAGGAAATTCATCGTCAATGAAGAGAGCTGAAACATCACATTCGATTCATAATAGAGGACAGTATCTCTCATTGAAGTAATGCTGAAGCATTTTCAGCAGAAGAAAGCGGTGAGGAGAAAGAGAGGTTTTGAATCAGTAGTTATTTGGTACGAGTCTCCTGATCGCCGTTTGGTGGAAGAAGCATTCTATGAAGATTTTCCTTTCCTCTCTGATAAAACAAAGAAAACTTGTTCAGCAGTCAATGTTGAACCTTGGCGTTGGAAGTCACCGCCTAGAAGAGCCTAGTCCATCTTCAATATTTCTTGATATTCCTGATCCCATGGATGATGTTTCGAACAGATACCATAGTCAATAAGAAACGTGTGGAATACTCGCGATGTGAGTGTGAAAATTATCATCATATAATCAGCCCAGCATATTCAACAAAATGACTTCTCGATGGTAATTATGTTCTGAAATGGGAAGATTTCAAAGACACGTAAGGTGGGTACTTTCCCCTTGTAATAAATTCCATTTTTTCCACAAGTTTTTATTCATGAAATATTACAAATAATCACCACTTGAAACTGATTATATCATTAAAGACACACCTTGTGCTTTAAAATTGGCATGTGAGCTGAAACTATACAATTCATAAATTTAAACGATTATGTATAACAGTATATAGAAGTAAATGCAAATGAGGTAAATAGAAAATATACATGAATTACAGTCCACCAATCTACTTTTTGAAGATGTTTTAGGATTTATCAGTCAACATCCAATTTTTTGAAATTTCCATAATATCCTAGAAATTCGTCATTTGAAACTTTTGATGGTCGCAAGTCCTCCATTACTACCCAGTTCTCCCGCTGGTCGAAAAAATCTTTGCGATCCTCCATCTTTTTGAGATATTTAGCTGTGAAGAACAAAAACAGTGAGAGATAATATATGAAACAATCCAAAATCCATGAGAGTTTTTAAACAGAATTCCATATATATTTCTATTAGCCAATTTAAATTTTTTGGATACCATCTACTTGTTTTTGATAATAGGTTCATCATCAGCACTGTCAATGAATTTTTCTTTAAGATTAGNTTATATACATAATATATTAATGTACATAAATACATATTTTTTTCGTGGTGACTAATATTCATTAACAATTCATTGATTTGAAAATAATTTACTGTCATCATAAGTGTTGAAAATACCTCTTACATTTTACTTTGAGTACATTTGTAGAATTTGAGGTTACTTGATGGTATGTAATATTTGTTTATATCACGGAGTGATGTAAATTTTTACATCATTACGCAATATGTTATGAGTTTACAAATAAATCAACAAATTGATTATAGATACAAATTATAAGTCTGGAAAAATAGATTATCTCGAATATCGAATTAAATTGAGTGTTTCTTTCTCAGAGTGATCTTGTAATTTTGAATAATAAACTATATCGTCAGGTTGTCCTATACACATTACAACATTAGGTAGTATCAAAATTTATCCGAAAAATATTTTGAATACATGAATAAATTTAAACGAATAATCAACTAAATCACATAGAGAAATAAGTTAAAAAATGCTAACTACTTACGTGCATACATGAGTACACACACACACACATACTTTTTTTTTAAATTCGTACAAACTTATTTGAAAAATTTATTTTCCTTTCCATGAAAGTATGCCATTTTCCACCAACTTTCCTTATTTGGCATAACTTCATTTGTAGTAAAAATTGTATTTCATTTGGCTTGATGATACAAATATATCTAACACTCTGAAACAAATGGACTATTTTTAAACTTCAATGTGACACATAAATTTGTTGACATGTAATGTCGTTGATAAAGCCATGATTTCGATGAGAATGTTAAGATGTCACTCTACAAATACTTATTATACCAAACAGTTGTTGTACTACAGTAGGGATGAACTACGATCTCTAAAAGGCCTTCTGTATCTGTAGAGTAGGGAGAGTGAGTGTAGGCCCACAGCACGTAGGCCACATATGACCCATTGTACATCCTCCTAAGGAATTGTCCTCCTAGGTCCTTCCTGTCGTTTCCAGGAAGGTGGACAGATCTCTGGGAGACATCTCCTTTACGTCAGCAGGTGTAGGCCAAGACTCGCCGAACACACACTCTCTTTTTGACGATAACTCCGGACATTCGCATAGGACATGCCTGATAGTTTCATCTTGTTGTTTACACATCCTTCATAGAGGTATGTCCACTGGCCCCATATTGTGAAGGTATTTCCTCAGTTAACAGTGGCCAGTCATAAATCCTATTGTTCCTGGCCAGATTGCATTCTTTTATTTCATCCCATCCCTTTGGGGATTGAGCGTGGGTGTGACGTTTTGCTAGTTCCGCAATTGTCGAAGTCATCAGGCCGTAGGTGCCACTAGTCCTGAAATTCTCAGTCCAGCCGATTCCTTGGCTAAAGAGTCGACAATGCGATTACCTTCACTTCTGTCATGCCTTCCAAACCACCTCAAGATAAAGTTATTATCTACCGAGGCTTTGGCTAAATCTTGGTGGTACTTTAGTACTAGCTCTAAGGTAACACGTTGTCTGTTCAAGGCTAATAGGGCTTGTCTGCTAAAAGTGCAGATTGTTGTTACCAGAAATTCCTTTCCTGGTTATTTTTTTATGGCGATTGAGATACCAGCCGGTTCTGTTTGGATCACGCTGGTATTAATTCCCATCACCCACTCAATCCTCAGGCTCAGTGATCTGGAGTACACTTCACATTCTAAACCTTCTTTGATTTTTGAGCCGTCTTTATATATGCGTATTGCATTTGTAGCATCTGACTCTGTGTTTTATTTTATTTGTATTTTGTAGGCTTGTATTTTGTTGCCTGCAGTACAGATTGCGTAGTAAATGCTTCTCGTCATAGGCTTAGCCTCAATTGACCTAATTTTTCTAACAGCCACAGATACATGAATACCATATTAATATTTCTGTTTTGGCCGCTGCAATTATCTGTCCACACTGTCAACTTCTCCGTAGACCTTTCAGGATTTCTTAGTTCTTCCATCGCCCAAATGAATAAACATGAAGCTATTTCATTACCTCCCCGACCAGCTGTTGTCTCATCCCACATCATACTCCAAGTTCTGTCAACGGTCGTGCCATAAATAGTACTATTTAATGTCCAGAGCTTTCTTGGGTAGAAACTTTGTGAATTCTTCAAATCAGGCGTTGGAAGACATTTTTGGAGATCAGACATAATCACTCTGGAACCTTGAGTAGCACGGGCTTCCAGTTTATCTTCCATCTTCAACTTATACCTTTGTGATGCATCTTTAAGGTAGTTTTCTTTTTGCAGAGTGAGTCCAATAAGATTTTCATCATTCTTATCATATTTGAGTTCACAGTCAAGTTTATCGCAAACATCACAAGTGTCATTGTCTGGTAAGTGGAAAGACAAGTTGAAATCTTCACTGAATACTTTGGATTGAACCCACATCTTTTCTGGCATAAGATTTTCTTGTTTGCACTCATCTACATACAATGAGTACATCCTGGAAATGTTCAGATGATTCCCCAAATACTTACGCTTGGATCTTTCCCTGCTATAGGGAAACTTCGAAATATGGCTTCTGATCCATTCTAACCTTTCACTCGACAATTTATTTGCTGAGATATGTTTTCCTCTAAGGTCAGGTGTTACTAAACCAACGTCACTGCTTTTTTTCAAAGCAACTCTCATAAATGTTTCCGAAATGGAAAGTGTGTTTAGAAAATAAGTTTTGCAAACGACTTCTTCTTTACAATTCAAATTAAAAATGAATGAGTGGCTCTTAGTTTTGCTTGTTCATGTGCCTTCTCTTTTCCGTTGTCTAACAACAGGCTTAGTTCTTATACAAGAGATCACAAACTGACGTTTTGAGTCCAATCTCCTCTCCGCATTCCAATAGTCAGAGTGTATTTTCAACCTTTGGTCTCCTGTAATCCTTTCGTTGCATTTCAGGCGACACTTATCATGACAGGGAGGCTTCAGAGATTTTTTACTTGTGAGTACATTTTTTGTATTCACATATTCCTTTCCACCTACCCTACCCTTTTTCCTCACGTTCCTTTTCCAGGTGTTTTCGTTTCTTACTCGTTTCTTGCCTTGTTTATTATTTTGCATACTGATATTTTGATCATCTTCCGTATCAGTATTACTATATTGCAATGCATTGAACTTGAATCATTTTTTGAAGCTGCTTCAGGAGAAAACGTAGGATCATCAAGGTCATCGTCTGTATCGCTTAAGGGTGAGTTGTTCACTGAGGCTACATCAGAAGAATAAGTAGGCTCAACGGACTCAACATCTGCCAATTGAAGGTCATAACCAGCTGGTCCTTGCGCTGGAGCCAGTGGAGCTTGGTCCACTGCCAGTACACCTATTTCGAAGTGTTCCTCTGAAAATAGGTTTTCTTCGAACTGTTCCTCCGTATGTACTTCTACTTCAAATACTTCATTCAAAAATTGTTACATTCTTACCGCTAATTCTGTTAGCGATGGAACCGGACTCGATTCTCTTGGAAGTGAATTTTCTTGTTGATTAATATCACTTTCTTATAATAAAACCTATTAATATTAGGAGTAGGTATGCTATTTTTATTGAAAAATAATATATTCATTAAAATAAGTTGCAAACAAAAATTTTTTTCTAGAGAGCATTAGTCATACACAACATTCTCATATGGTTATCGTGACTAAACCTAACCACTGACAAGCTAAAACAAGAGGGTAACTGGACTTGGAACAGAACACTATCTATCGAAACTACTGCCATTAGGTATTAAATGGACGTTCTTTTGGCTCGAATAAAGCTTAGGACTTACGCTCTTATAACCGTCCCTAATAACAAAGGATGAATCTTTAGAGAAAATACGTCGTTACGGCCAGATGGATCATGAAATTATATGTGCAAACCAGCAATAACCTGAAAATCGCTGATTTTGGACTTACGTCCATCTGTCTCTGAGGTACAGACATGACCATTAACGCAACCTCCTTAACGTACAGGTCCAGAGGGATCAGACCAGTAATTAATTTCATTGCCGTGGTTGGTGATATTCTCATGGCGCCTGTGATATTCAAACAAGCCAGTCGCTATATTTGATGTAATTTTTGGATGGCCGTTGCTTGTAGAACTCAGCGTCCGCATGCAATAGCTCTGTACATTAACAAAGGTCTTATTATCCAGGTGACCACACGTGATGAAAGATCCCATGAGCATCCACTGTCCTCCGACATTGCTCATAAGCCACATATGCTTTTTTTGCTCTACTCTGTCGAGGATAGTACCAAGGTATTTCACCTTTTCAGAGAAGTTTAAGCCCTTCTTACACACTGTCATTCGAATCATCAAATGCAGAGACTAGGGCTGTCGGAAGACAGGGTGAATCGCCTCTGTTTGGAAAATGATGAAACAGCAGAGCACATAATTTGTGCCTGCCCCGCTGGGGACTGAATCAGGTTTTTAGAGTTCAGCAGAGCAGTACTCTCACCATCTGCCCTGAAAGACCACTCACCATACAAACTATTCTATTTCGTTAAGAAGCTGGTTTTATTTGGTCGAGTGTGAATAGGTGTGAGTCACAATAATCCCTTGTAGGTTGTGATGGAGGGTCAAATAGACCCACTCACTTTGGACCTAACCTAACCTATTCACCAAATCTGTATCGCTTTCTTCTACTCGTCTACCACTTATAAACTTGGTGGTATCAGAAGATATAGAAGACATTTCAGTTCATCAAGAAATGCGAATTTAGAAATGTTACGAAAGTACTTCTGCTGAAATGATTTCTCTTATAAGATTTGAATCGGGAATCGAATTTGTTGAAACAAGTAGAATTCAAAGAGAAGAAATGTTTTAATTTTTCGAATATTCATTTCTCATGATGAATGTTTCAAACAGCAAAATGGTACTGAAGAAACGTTCTTAGCATGGAACGTTTTTCAAATATCCCTTTGAAAAAATTAAAAAATGTGTAACTCACCTTCCAATTCTTCTAACGAATCTTCATAACCTCCATAGTCTTTCGGCAGTATATTTTTGTCTATCGATTCAACAACTGACTTCATGTCTTTATGAACGAATATCTGAAATGAAAATTTTCTCTCAGTATATGAATCATTTTTAATTCAAATAACACTTTGTGGAGATATTTGAATTGGTTTGAGCTCTGTTGCACAAAAAAAATGTCATTTTTTGTAGATGTTGATTTTGGTGCAAGAAAATCTATTGTAGAAAATAATTTCGGGGAATCAATTTCACAATAAAACAATTCATGTTGAAAAAACTGATGCTTGTTTTCTTCTCTTTTCAAAACATACAAGATGAAATAATTGCAATTTCTTTAAGGATCCACGTCAGTAGTTTCAGAACTTAAGTATTCCAAGAACTTCTTTTGGCCTTTTTCATTATTTTATACAGGGTGTTCCTTAAACACATGCTANGTATTTTTTTCGCCAAAAATATACATTTCAAAACTCGTACGTACGCCACTGGCAGAGAAAATCAAGAAAATTGTACATCAGAAAATGCGTCTTGAGGCATGGAACATATGTACAAAATATGCCAAAGATGTCTACAAAATTATCTCAGTTATTATTAAAAAACTGATTATTTTTGAAAACTTTGCAACCCTGTATCTCAAAATTTAAGGCGTTTAGGACATACGTCCATAGGACGTTTTTTCCTTAAAATGGGTCTAAGAATTACCTCCTCGAATATTAGCATGTATTTAAGGAACACCTTGTATATGATACTGTTTACATTACAAATGTGATTCCATATTGAGGACCCGTATTCTAACCTTGATCTTATTGAGCTCAACTAAAGGGAAGTAAGAGATAAAATATTATTGAAGTTCCAAAAATTTTTGACAATAAAACAGTGAGAGTGATAGGCAGAGTTAACAATAAAATCAATGTGATTATTGCATGGATCATTCATGAGTAGTAAATCATAATTACCACATATGGTCTGATGAAAACCCTCACGCTATTGTCGAAACTAACCATCAAGAACAGTTTTCTCTTAACGTGTGGCTCGGAGTTATTGGGGATGATTCAATTGAGCCTCATTTTCTACCTCCTCAATTGAATGGTGAGCCATACGTTCAATTTTTAAGAGAAGTGCATCCAGTACTGCTGGAGGAAGTTCCTTTGGGCGACAGAAGGGATATGTTTTTTATGCATGATGGGGCTCCCGCCCATTTCAGTCAAGTAGCACGTCAGCATTTAACTGAAACATATGCAAATCAGTGAATAGGTCGAGGAAGACTACAGAACCGGCCCACTCGATCCCCGGATCTCAATCCTCTCGATTGCTCTATTTGCAGTCATTCACAGAATTTGGTTTATCGTACTCCTGTTCGCGATGTAGAGGAATTGAGAAACCGCATCATCGATGCGTGCAGGGTAATCAGAGAGACTCCAGGAATATATGAGCGAATACGTCTAGACGCATGCGTAATGTCTGAAGATAGACATAGATATATTGACATTTGCTATCATTTCTACATGTTGTGTGTTTTGTTATTAATAAATTAGTTTTGTTTATTACCCTTCAATCGGTAAATGCAGGTACTAACTACAAAATATGAATATGAATGATACATGAATATGAAGGAAACAGGCTATCGGAAATGAATTTTCAAATGGTGAACAAATTATAAGACAAAAAGTTACATTGGAAATAAATTTTCGGGGTTGCGTTTTCCACCCCTTGCAACCATGGGGAAAACCAAATAATTAACTGGCTAAGTGTCTTTTTGATAGTACAAAACGTCAAATCAATTTCAATATTGTAACTTTCAGTGCTTGTGAAAAAAATTGTTATACAAATTTTATGTACCCCTTTTAAGGGGCTGTATGTACAAGAGATGCTCCAATGAAGTTTCTTTATATGAAAGATCCTATTTTTTTTTCGATTAGGAATCACTTCCTTGAATGTTTAACACTTATTCAGTTACACTCTGTAGATTTCGTTGAAACCCATACCAGAAAGTTTATGAATGAGAATCGCATGACTAATTTCATCGAAATTTGGTGTACACCACACCAACCTGCCTCCTACGGTCCAGTGTTTCAAATAAAAGCTGATATCAAACAACCAATTTACTGATTATGGATCTATAATTCATGAAACCATGTTGATGATCGGAAATAATATGATTGGTTGACAGATATATGTGGTTGTACATAATCACTTCCAAGAGCTTCGTAAAGTTGCTGAGAACTGAAATTGGTCCAAACTTTATACAAAAAACCATCGCCAATTTCACCTTCTTAAATGGATCGGAAACAATAATCACTCGCTATAACTTAGCCTCTTTGGCAACAGCGTCACTCATGAATCAAACTCAGTAGGGGTTTCATAAATTTTTGAGATTAATTCAATTACGCTCAAAAATAACCGAATTTTTCTAATTCGAACGAATTTGTATCTCTCATGGTGCACAAATTATCTTCACCATAATAAAATGGAATAAATCTTAAATACGATTTCATTGTACTTACCCTATTGGCTACCTTTGGTTTGATAAGAGATTTTATCAGAAATATTGCCTGATCCAAGAACAATGGTGCATTGATGAGGTGTATTGCTACCACTCTCGTTGTGAATGCTTTCTGAAATTCAAATTGAATGAAAAAAAAATGTTTAAAGTCATATATGATTTGAGAATTAGCTCAAAGCAATTTTGTCATTTCGCAAAAGTTTCATCATTTTGATATTCTCACAAATCTTGGTTGGACATTAATTCTCAACATTTATTTGAAACTTGTGAATAAGCTTCCATTATGGAGTGACGAACACTTATGAAAATATTCGAGGTTTCCTGATATCACTGAACGTTTTCGACAGCGACAGCGATTTTATCGCTTTGAACATTGTTCACCATTGATTTTATCTGTATTACTCAATATTCATGTAAAAATATTTATTTGGACTCGTTTTAGCGAACTCCATGACGTAAGCAGTTTTGACAAAACATTGAAGACGCACTTCCTTGTTGGTTAGGTAGAATTAGAATGCGGCAACTGAAGATTCCTTAGGTATTTGAATGATACCTATCAGAAAACAACTACTTTCCTGGCCAATACCACGAAGCGCGTTGGATTATATTCGGCAGGTGCAGGATTCTTCACTGAAGTTTTTCCTGCATATGCTGTTAGCGATACATCTGCCAAAATGAATTATAAATTATTGGAACACACTCGCAGACCGGTTTCGGATTATTTGGCCACTCGTCAGTGCAAGATAATGTCTAATATCAACATATAGTCGATGATTTTGGATAATTGAAAATTGAATTCCTTATATTGATGATAGACACTACCCTGCACTGACAAGTAGCCAAACAGCCCAAAACCGGTTTGCGAGTGTGTTCGAATAATCGCAAATCTATTACGGCAGTGGTATCGCCAACAGCATATACAAGAATAAGTTCAGTGAAGATTCCTGCCCTAACACCTGTCGGATATAATCCAACACCCTTCGTGGTATTAGTCAGGGGAGTAATTGTTTTCTGATAGATGTCATTCCATTAACCTACAGTGTAGGGAGTTGGGAATGGCCTGAATGAATTGTTCCTTTAGATGATTTGAATTATAGCCCATCTTCAAGTACGCCCACTGACTATACAGTGTGTGAAAGCCAAATGGAATAAATTCATTATTTCGGTTACTGTACATATTTGAAAAAAAATCTCGAAATACGTCAAATGTGAATTATAATTGGATATTCTTACACGTAAAAACGCCACCACTACCTTCAACCCCCTTCGAATGACTGGAACAACCACCAATTTTTTAAATGGAAAGCATAGTCTATCCATTTCTAATTGGAACGGCAATAAAAATAAGAGTACAGTCAAAAACATTTTTTGCCTGTGGCTCCTAGTCGCCCAGATAGTTGGTAAACGTGCTATCAAATGTAGTTGAGGAGTAAAGGCTCGGCTAGCTGGACTGGCTGAATACTAATTTTTTGTCCGTTTCACAATATTTCTTTATCAGTGCCGTGTGTTCGTGTGGTTAGGTGAGGTAGTGAGTGGTTTTGCAAACCGATTTTTGAAAACTTTTTCTAGAAATCAATTACCCTAACACCAAACTGATATTTTTGCACTNACTCAAGCATCACATCTAATTTGAGTTCATCACTCATTGCATTGGCAGCTGCTTTTTTTATCTACCCCACATGACCAAGCTCGCAAAACTGCTTCTCTATTTTGCTTATTTTACCTTGAAATATGGGCAGTAAATTAAGAAATTTCTCATGTAAGCGAGCTTCTTCCTGTTGTGTTCAGGTTTTATTTCCTTAATCAATCATTTGTAAAACTGTTATTTTATGTGTTTCCGTTAATCTAACCATTTGTCAGACTTGAAGTTAACGAACTTCAAACTCAAATTAAAATATTGACAACTGATATTGTAACATACAAAAGAAGTTGACAAGGCGTTTTAAACTAACGTTGCCACGGAAATCATTTACAGTTTTTAAGGATATCATCTAAAAAGAATATTGCTATGGTTTTTGCTCACTTCCTTAGTATCGATGCCTCAACATGAAATAAGTTTTGAGTATGTTGCAGTAAGTTCCGAGTGTATTTTATCGAATTTCGGTAACCACATGATTTTAATTTATTTAATTTCAATTGAAAGCGATAACATGTTTGAGTGAAGAGAGAGAGAATGGAGAGACACAGATAATTTGATATATAAATTTTATGATTGGGAAAAACAATTCAGGCCGATATAGATTGATGAAACCTAATATACAGTGCGCATCATAATTGTTACCCCCCCTATCTAGCTCTTTCCTGGACTCTTGTCAGGAAAGTCATCAGGACACGTCGATTTTGAATTTCTACAATGTACATTTGAGTATGAACATCTCTTCCCTTCCCGGAAGGGAGGAACCTTTTCGAAAAATTTAAATAGCATGGGGTGGTGAGTGAAGCATCAAAAGTTACTGAGGTGTGTACAATTTTCTGATTCGAAATAACGTTCCATGTTTTTGAGAAGCAGCCCAAGACATATTGGTGCCCATTTTGACCCCCATCAAAAGTATAGAAATGCCTGAGTTTTCGTGGCATTAAATTAAAACTGGCCAATACCAGCAATAAATGTTTCTACATGCCCAAAATATAGTATTTGTACAATTTTATGCAAATGTATTCGAAAAGTATTTTTCGTAATCACATTATACATTTCGAGTGAAAAGTTTCCGCAAGAGTTATTACTTGCTCAAATGTTTATTTTAGAGAGTGGGTGAATCAATCTAGTCTTTGTTACAAGCTAAAACACGATATTCATATTCTTTTGGAATATTTAATTGACGAATCATTATGAAAATATTCGAAAAATTCAGTATTCATTATTTCACTCACGATAAAGAAAAATCTTACCCCTAAAATATTATATATGTCTCTGATCAACTTCGGAGTCAATTTAGCTAAATGCCCCATCCTGCAGAATTCCATGTCAACTATTATGAGATGTCCATCACAAAAATCTTCCAACATCCTCATATCTGCCATATTCATTAATAAAGCACAACAAGCATAGGCGTCCAACTCAGATGGATCTGCATCTTTCAATTTCAAGACCAGGATTCGATTGTGGTCTTTGTTGGTTTTGGGTAGGGGCAATGTATATCTGAAAAATTTAAA